TGTATTCCCCTTTTTCGCAAACATAAAATATTGCCGCTTCCAGCATTATACGTTTATGAAATCTGTATCTTTCTTTACAAAAATAGTAATTTATTTGAAAACACAACGATGTTGTAATTAGGACTAGTAGAAATATACATAAGTTGTGTGTACCAAAGCAAAGAATACAACTCTATTCAAAAAACGTATATTGTATGGCAATACATGTTAACAACAAATTGCCGGTTTGTATCAAAAAGATGAATATAGAAATCTTTAAAGTTAAATTGTTTCAATTTCTTTTAAATAAATGTTATTACTCAATAAATGACTTCTTAAATGATAAATTTGACTCGAATTGTATTTATTAAATTGCTGAATTGAATTTTTTGAAATGTTTTAAATAAAAATATTATTAATTGATTAATGATTGTTTTAATTATTGATAATTTAATTGATGTGCCGTGTAGTGGCGGTTAAGAATATCCACTACCCCATATCTTCCCGTGGGTGTCGTAAGAGGCGACAGAGGGAGACAGGCAGGAGATGGGCAGCAGCGTCTTCCTGATGACAACTGTGACGTAATAAAAAACTGCGGTTGCCAACCCGCTCGCCAAGCGTGGCAACTATGGCAAATACCCCCCAATGAATAAATACACAAACAGACGGCCCCCAGTCCCCGGCGGCCCCGCTATTCCTGGCTACGGTGGCGACCATGGTAACGGCGGGGCAGGGGGTGCTAAGAATCTCCGGTGGAGGTTCGGTTGCCACCTACGACGACTCGACCTGGCAACATATAACACACGCACCCTGAGGACTGACGAGAAGATACTGGAGCTGGAAGAAGAGGTAGACAAGTTGCGCTGGCATATTATTAGATTATCCGAGGTCCGAAGAGAGGGGGAGGACACGGCAATCCTCGAGTCCGGCAACTTGTTCTATCACCGGGAGGGCGACCATCAGTCCCAAGGAGGTGTCGGATTTATCGTCCACAAATCTCTCGTCAACAACGTTGTAAAGATTGGGAGTGTGTCGACGAGGGTCGCGTACCTGATACTCAGAATCACCAAACGGTATTCGCTGAAGGTCATTCAGGTTTACGCACCAACCTCGGCACATCCCGATGAGGAGGTGGAGGAAATGTATGAGGATATTTCCAGAGCCATACATTCCTCCAAAACCTACTACACGGTGTTGATGGGAGACTTCAACGCAAAACTGGGCACAAGAGAAAGCGGTGAGCTGAAGGTAGGGAAATTTGGAGTAGGGCAACGGAACCGTAGGGGCCAGCAGCTGGCCGACTTTATGGAGAAAGAGGGACTCTTTATGATGAACTCTTTCTTCCAGAAGCGGCCCCACAGGAAGTGGACCTGGTCGAGCCCCGACGGTTCGACAAAAAATGAGATTGACTTCATTATGACGACCAGACGCCAACTGTTCAGTGATGTCTCAGTGATCGCAAGGGTGAAAACTGGCAGAGATCACCGAATGGTTAGAGGCACACTGAACCTAAACGTTAAGTTGGAGAGGTCTCGTCTAATGAAGTCAACGCTCCGTCCCCCTCGTGCTCTAATCCAGAATCCCGAAACCTTTCAGCTCGAGTTACGTAACCGCTTCCAGTGCCTAGAAGATTGCAATGCAGTGGACGATATGAACGACAAGCTCGTGGAAACTGTCCATGCGGTCGGAGCTAAGTTCTGCAAGACCCGCCGCAGAAGAACACAAAAACTCTCCGATCACACACTTAATCTCATGGCTGTTAGACGGGAGATGAGGCTGCAATCGTCAACAGATTTGACAGCGTACAGGCAACTGAACAGACAGATCTCCAAATGCATACGGCGAGACTTACGCAACTTTAATACTTCTCGTATTAAAGAAGCGATCGAGCGGAACCAGGGCTCCAAAGTCTTTGCCAGAGATCTGTCTGCCAGAAAGAGCCAACTGTCAAGGCTGAAGACTGAGTGTGGCAACATCATTTCCGGGACACCTGAGATTTTGAGTGAGATTGAGAGGTTCTATGGGCAGCTGTACACATCATCGTTGGAGCCACACGCAAGTGTGAGTAACGATCCAAGAGCAAGTCTTATCCGACACTATTCCGATGATATCCCGGACGTCAGTCTAAGCGAGATTGGAATGGCTCTCCAGCACCTTAAAAACGGCAGGGGCCCCAGGCGAGGATGGAATTACAGCGGAGCTTCTGAAAGCGGGTGGAACACCGGTACTTGAAGTCCTTCAGAAGCTCTTCAATTCCGTCCTCCATGGTGGCACTACTCCAGAGGCGTGGAGCAGAAGTGCGGTGGTCTTGTTCTTTAAGAAAGGCGACAACGCTCTCTTAAAGAACTACAGACCGATTTCCCTTCTGAGCCGCGTCTACGTGCTGTTTTCGAGAGTCATTACGAATCGTCTCGCACGCAGACTTGACGACTTCCAGCCTCCCGAACAAGCCGGTTTCCGAAAAGGCTTCAGTACCATAGACCACATACATACCCTGCGGCAGATTGTACAGAAGACTGAAGAGTACAATCTGCCACTTTGCCTGGCGTATGTGGACTATGAGAAAGCCTTTGATTCCGTCGAAATTTGGGCGGTGCTACAGTCCCTTCAGCGGTGCCAAGTTGACTGTCGGTATATCGAAGTGCTGAAGTGTTTGTACAGTAGGGCTACGATGGCTATCCGAGTACAGAACCAGAGCTCGAAACCTATCCAACTGCAGAGAGGTGTAAGACAGGGTGACGTTATATCCCCGAAACTCTTCACCGCTGCATTGGAAGACGTTTTCAAGCTACTGGACTGGAAAGGATACGGTATTGACATCAATGGCGAGTACATCACTCACCTTCGATTTGCCGACGATATAGTCCTTATGGCAGAATCGCTGGAGGACTTAAGCACTATGCTCAATGACCTCAATAGTGCCTCCCAACGGATAGGTCTTAAGATGAACATGGACAAAACAAAGATCATGTTCAATGTCCACGTCACACCTATGCCGGTAGTTGTTGGGAGCACTATGCTCGAAGTTGTTGACGAATACGTTTACCTGGGACAAATAGTCCGACTAGGTAAGTCCAACTTCGACCGAGAGGTCAATCGACGGATTCAACTCGGCTGGGCAGCGTTCGGGAAATTACGGCATATCTTTTCGTCAGGTATACCTCAATCTCTAAAAACTAGATTGTACAACCAGTGCGTGTTGCCAGTGATGACTTACGGATCTGAGACGTGGTCCTTCACTGCTGGCCGTATGAGGACGCTTAAGGTCGCTCAGCAAGCTATGGAGAGGGCTATGCTCGGAGTTTCTCTGCGTGATAGACTCAGAAATGAGGATATCCGCAGTAAAACCAGAGTGACCGACATAGCCCAACGGATTAGTAAGCTGAAGTGGCAATGGGCCGGCCATATAGCTCGAAGAACCGATAACCGATGGGGAAGAAAGGTTCTCGAGTGGCAGCCTCGTACCGGTAGGCGTTGTGTAGGGCGACCCCCCACTAGATGGAGTGACGACCTGGTAAGACATGCAGGAAGTCGATGGATGCAGGTGGCTCAGGACCGTGCTTTGTGGCATTACTTGGGGGAGGCCTATGTTCAGCAGTGGACTTGTGAAGGGCTGTAATGATGATGATGATGATGAATGATTGTTTTATATAGATTTAATTTCCATGAGTATTGCTGCAAGTATCTTTATACTATATAATAATTAATGTCTTAGTTTTCTATTTTATTCGAAAAATTATCTATCTGAAAACATTTGTACGCCGGAAACGGCAGAATATTTAGGATCGAAATTCTTTTGTAACAACAGTAATGTATCATATTCTGAGAAAAAAATAAATCACTTACTTATTTACATCTTATCTTACGACAGATCTTTTCGTTAGTTATACTTCAAAACCAAAAACGAGATTATACAACCAGTTCATGTTGTCAGTGATGACTTATGGATCTGAGACAAGGGCCTTCAAGAAGTCAATATCGTTTTATGTCGAACCGTCGGGGCACGACCAGGTCCACTTTCTGTGGGGCCGCTTCTGGAAGAAAGAATTCATCATAAAGAGTCCCCCTTTCTTCATGAAGTCGGCCAGCTGCTGGCCCCATGGGTTCCGTTGCCTTATCTCGAATTTCCCTACCTTCAGCTCACCGTTTTTTTTTGGTTTTGGAGGAATGCATGGCTCTAGAAATATTCTCATACATTTCCTACACCTCCTCATCGGGATTTTCTGACGTTGGCTCGTAAACCTGTATGACCTTCAACGAATACCGTTTGGTGGTTCTGAGTATAAGGTAACCCTCGCCGACAGACTGCCTAATCTTTACAACTTTGTTAACGAGAGAGCTGTGAACGATAAATGCAACACCTCCTTGGGACAGATGGTTAACCTCCCGGTGATAGAACAAGTTGCCAGATTCGAGAATCACCGTGTCCTCCCCTTCTCTTCGGACCTCGAATAATCCTATAATATTCCAGCGCAACTTGTCTATGTATTCTTCTAGCTCCAGAAGTGCATTATATGTTGCCAGGTCGAGTCGTCGTAGGTGGCAACTGAACCTCCACCGCAGATTCCTAGCACCCCCTACCTCGGCGTTACCATGGTCGCCACCGTAGCCATGAATAACGGGGCCGCTGGGGACTGGGGGCCATTTCTTCGTAACTATCAATGGGGGCTATATTACCATAGTTGCCACGCATGGCGAGCGGGTTGGCAAACGCAGTTTTTTTTGTACAATTGCTGCTATCAGGAAGATGCTGCTGCCCATCTCCTGCCTGTTTCCCTCTGTCACCTTTTACGATACCCACGGGAAAATATGTGGTTGTAGATATTCTTAAGCGCCAATACACAGCATGAAAATCTATCACTGTATTTTATATCTTCTCTTCATTTTTTTTGTTTTCTTTCTGACAAATAATAATCAATTGGTATGATTTTCTTCTCTTATTTTCGCTTTCTTTAAAGTTCTCTTTCTTTAGGTTTAGCCTGTTGGTACAATTGTGGATTGTACTTTATTTTTCCCCGACGTCACCTCTCACATTCTTTTTTCTTGTGTCTGATCTTTTTTAGAATTTTTTTTTGGGTGGTGCCATAATTACCCTGGGTTATGGAATATTTTATTATGATTAATTTATTATATTAATAGTAATTTTAAAATTACTAAACAGCGATCAAACTATTGTCACATCCATGGATAACCGTAATCTACGTGGGTAACATCTATGGAGGTGACATTTTTAACCCATATATGCCCAGAACTGTTTTTGGTCTCAGATAAGTTTAATTTTAGAAATATTAATATCTAAAGGGTTCTTATAAAGAATCCAGAAAAAATTTGAAGCATGAGAAAGGTAAGAGTGTTTTTTTAATGGGTCGAAATCGACCCCTAGGTCAGTTGGGTTTCATAAAATTAATGCTGAATGAAAATCCGTTATTCCGAACTATTTCTTTATAAAAAAAAACAAATTAAGAATGAAACTGAGAAAAACATTTTGCATGCAATTTAACACCACATTTTCGGTGAATTCGAGTTATCGGCTACATGAAAATAGTGACTTTTCTCTTCGAATCGATTCCGACGCACTTTTTGTGACATGGATATTGCAATTATTTTTGCTCTCCCAGTACATACGTCGGCGTGGCAACGGAGCATAACCAGATAATATAAGGAAGCCAATAAAGCAGTAAATTTCTTTGTCAGATAATGAGAAATTCCTGTTTCCAGATTGAACAGCATGTTTATTCAAACTGTTTGTTTGACTAAATGGACAATAACTTCTCGATCAAAAAATAGCTCAAAAATTTAATAGGGTCAGAATTTTCCGATAAAGTTGTAACAGACCTGGGAAGGGGTCTGATCCACTAAAAATTATTTGCTTAAATTTTTAACAATGGTAGAGCCACGCGACAGCTTTGCTGTTGCACGTATGGGCCGGCTCAAACCGGGGTGGTACAACGACCTCACAGAATACCGGCGTGAAATGGAAGCTCTGCTTCCGCGTTTCGTCAGGTAAGTGCAGGGCCGGGCCGATCCCCCCCCCATGGTAAAATAAATAGACTACCCCAGGGAGGGTACCAGCACCCCTGGAGAATCCCTCGCTGAGCATCCACGACCATGTTTCTCAACTTCTGAGCGTGGGTGCTCAGGCTGCCCCGCGTATTCTGGGGCACGGGGCAAAATTAAGCTCAAGACTACAACTGCTCGGGGCAAATGGAGCAACAAGACCAAGGCGACTCCTGCCACGCTGTCCGTGAATTTATGCAATATCAGGGGACTTCACTCTAACCTAAACGCCGTCCACTACTATCTCGAGACGGCGAGGCCGGCTCTGCTCTTTTTGACCGAGACGCAGGTGTCCCCTCCGGCTGATGTCTCGTATCTCTCCTACCCGGGGTACAAACCGGAACACTCCTTTGTGCCTCGGGCTGGAGTTTGCGTTTACGTCAGAGAGGACATCTGTTCTCGACGCCTCGGCAGACTTGAAAATTCGGACCTGTCCATCCTGTGGCTACGACGTAGACAGCGACGACCATCCGCGCGTCTACGGGTGCCTCTATAGGTCCCATAGCGGTAATGCTGATACACACCGACTCTTCGACCACGTACAAATGGCTACAGATTCATAGCTACAGCAGATCCCCTCCGCAGAGATCGTGATCCTCGGCGACTTTAACGCCCATCACGCCGAATGGTTTGGTTCACGTTTAACCGATCATGCGGGGGAGATCTGTTTACGATTTTGCCTTGGCATATGGTCTGACACAACTGGTTACTTCGCCTACGCGGATTCCAGATGTGGAGAATCATGCACCTTCCCTGTTGGACCTTCTGCTGACCTCTCACCCGGACGGATATCAGATTTCCGTCGACGCCCCTTTAGGCTCCTCGGACCATTGTCTTGTTCGGAAAGTGGTGCCACTCACGCTGAAATCGCAGTTGCATTCTGCAGGCTGCTGCCGTGTTTGGCACTATAGGTCAGCCGATTGGACGCGACGGGGTGCGGTCTTTCTTTGCATCCTACCCTTGGGGGCCGGTTTGCTTCTCGCCGGACGATCCCAACGTTGTTGCGGATTCTGTCACTTATGTGGTACTTCAGGGTATGAAACTTTTTATTCCTTGCTCTGTGGTGCCCATTGGAGGCAAATCTCAGCCATGGTTTGGTCGCTCCTGTAAAATAGCATCATGCTATAAGCAGGAGTGCTACCAAGCCTGGGCTGACGCATCAGCGTCCCGGGATGTAAACACCAGCGCTCTAAAAAAGAAGTATAATTCCGCCTCTAGGTTCTTCAAAAGAGTCATTGCCAAGGCAAAGTCAGAGCACATAGGCAGAATTGGCGAGAAACTAGTCCACCTTCCTTCTGGAACCCGTGCATTCTGGTCTCTCGCCAAGGCTGTCCAGAGGAATTTCTGTCAGCCATCTTTTCCATCTCTGCACAGGGAGGACGACTCACTGGCGCATACCGCAAAGGAGAAAGCCGATCTTCTAGGCTCTTTCTTTTCGTCCAACTCAACTCTCGATGACGGGGGTGTACGCTGACGACCATCTCGCGGTGTGAGTGCTCCATGCCTGAAGTGCAGTTCACACAGCGCGGTTCGGTTCGGTTCGCAAAGCACTCCTCTCCCTGGACATCCACAAGTCGAGTGGGCCTGACGGAATCGCCCCAATTGTGCTGAGGGCGTGTGCTCCAGAGTTGGTACCGGTTTTAACGCGTCTTTTCCCGTACTCCTACTCCCTAGGCGTAGTCCCAAAGCCATGGAAGACGGCTTTCGTCCACCCGATCCCTAAAAAAGGCGACCGCTCAGGCCCGTCCAACTACCGGCCTATCGCCATCACCTCCTTGTTCTCCAAAACAATGGAGTACATTGTAAACTGCCAGCTCATAAGGTACCTTGAGGATCACCAGCTATTAGTGATCGCCAATACGGTTTTCGCCACGGTCGGTCAGCTGGTGATCTTCTGGTCTACCTAACTCACAGATGCGCGGAGGCAGTAGAGTCCAAGGGAGGCATTGGCCGTTAGTTTGGACATTGCGAAGGCCTTCGATCGGGTTTGGCACAAAGCGGTTCTTTCGAAGCTCCCTTCCTATGGGCTTCCCGAGAAATTGTGCGATTGGATCACCAGCTTTCTTGCAGATCGGAGCATCAAGGTCATTGTAGACGGTGCAAGCTCCGATTGCAAGCCTATTAATGCTGGTGTTGCACAAGGCTGCGTGCTATCGCCAACGCTGTTTCTTCTGCATATCAATAATATGTTGCAAACCCGTAACATTCATTGCTATGCAGATGAAAGCACTGGTGATGCTCTTTACACCGGCTGAGCCAATATTTCTCGGGAAAACGTCTCCGAGTGCCGGGACAAACTTGTGTCTGAAGTCGAATCTCTGCTGAACAGTATCGGATTGGGGGCGACTAAATCTAGTCCAGTTTAACCCCCAGAAGACACAAATTTGCGCGTTAACCGCTAAAAAAAACCCCTTTGTCGTATCTCCTCAGTTTCAAGGCACTCCCCATTTGTCTCAGCCAGTATCGGAATCCTCGGCGTCGACATATCGAGTGACGTGCAGTTTCGTGGTCACTTGGAAGAGAAGGCCACATTGACCTCTAAAAAGCTTGGCGTGCTCAGCAGAGCGGGACAGTATTTCATGCCGGCACACCGCCTGCAACTTTACAAGGCGCAGGTTCGGCCGCACATGGAATACTATTCCCATCTCCGGGCTGAGACTCCCCAGTACCAGCTCCTTCCACTTGACCGCATCCAGCGCAGAGCGGCTCGAATCGTCGACGACCGAGTGCTTTCCGATCGGCTCGATTCACTGGCACTGCGAAGAGATGTTGCATTTCTTTGCATTTTCTTTCGCATATAACATGGAGAGTGCTCTGAGGAATTGTTCGGATTAATCCCAGCCGCCAAATTTCGTGAACGCACTACGCGGCAAACGTCCCGATACCATCCACACCATCTGGATGCTTGGCGGTCCACCACAGTACGTTTTAAAAGGAGTTTTCTTCCGCGTACAACCTCTCTGTGGAATAGTTTACCACCAGCGATTTTTCCGGACCCATACGACCTGGGGACCTTCAAGAAAAGAGTGTAATCCTTTCTAAAGGGCCGGCAACGCACCTGCAATTCCACTGGTGTTGCGGCTGATCATGGGCAGCGGTATTCACTTATCATCAGGTGAGCCGCATGCTCGTTTTCCCCTCTTCTATAAAAAAAAATTGCGGGATGATCTTTCTTTACCCATGTGAGCCCACCCACCTGGTATTGAGTAGCTGTTCCTCGCCCTCTTCCGCGTGCCCTTCTGCGATTCTTTTGCTCCAGTGATGACGGTGATGAATCATCGGATTCCACATCTTCGTTTGCCATAACTTCACCACGATCAAGCGATGCTCTACCATCTCTTTCCCCTCCTATTCTAGGCCCTCTACCGCGCGATCTTCTGCGAGCCCTTCCGCGTTCCCATCCCCGTCCTTTCCTGCGTAACATTCCATGACTATCTCGTTTCATTGGCGCTGTTTCTGTCATAACGGGTTCCTCACCCTCGCTAAGAATGCTTTCCTCATCAAACGGACGCCTCATAGTAACACTTGCAAGCGCAAGTAACTGGCGACGAGATAAATTATGGAAGTAAATATCTTCTTCCTTCCTCACAAGAATCGCCGTCTGACACCCTGCCATCGCTGGTAGGTTCGATAAACACATTGGCACCTTGTATCTCATCGTCATAATTCAAACATTCTAACACATCTAAAATCTCGTTTGTTGTAAGCGGCTTTCTAGACCTAAAATAAAAGTTAACAAAAATATACATACATTCTCCCAAAGGGTCGTTATCGACCCAAGAATGTTGTCATGTCTATTTCTATATAAAGGAAAATTAATTTCTGAATACTTTTACTATTATTAGATAAGTTAAAATTCAAACTTTATAACAAAAACAACATAAGTGGTAAATTGACAAAGAAAATTCACATTTTTTTTAGCAGAAACAGGTTTTTTTGCCACCAAACATCAAATCATATCTTGAACTGTCACCTGCTGTCGTAATCTTAACCGTCAAACTAAGTTATCTATCTTTTTCGGTTGATGATTTTTGGGTTGATGGTTGAATACCCTTGTCATTAAATACATGGCATTAGACGTAGCAAATAAACATTTTTATAGAAAAACGCGCCAGTTTTCTGAAAAATGTTTTGAAGGACAAAAACGACCCTAAATGCTGATTACATGAAACGACGAAACCATATGAAAACGGCTACAATGGTTCATCATTTTAGAATATTCGATATACCTTAATTTAATAAATACTGTTTGATAAGTAATCCACAAATGTGATAGAAATTGGATGCAAATTTCAAAAACATCTCACTTTAAAGGTCTTTGCTCCAAAATAATTATCCCAGCAATGAAAAACTGTCAAATTTTTTCAAGATGGTGTTGTGTTTGTTGTCCTTTCAGAAGCTGTGTTTACTGATTTATTGTTTTATGTCTATGTTTGGTTAGTTTATCCAAGGAGGTGATAATTCTTCCATTCACAAAAGTTATGAAATATTTGGAATTCATTATTTTATTTTTGTTTTAAAAATTGATGTTTTATGGAAGGTTTATTCTATGTTTTACCGTAAAATAATAAGAATTTAATTATTTGTTATTGGTATATTTATTTTATTAGAGTCTGTAGTATCATAAAGTCAGTCTGTAGTTCATCACGTTCTTAGCGACAGTTAAATTTTTTTTTGATGTTAAGTCTTAATAAAAAATCATATAACCAACTTTGATTAATTGTAGACAGAAAATATCGGAATATTACAAGTATTATATTTTTAACACAAACGTACAAAACACATGCAAAAATTAGAATGGTCCATATGTGGGATATCGATGTATGTGGGTAAGTCAGGATCCTGTTTTGTGGCATTACTAGGAGGAGGCCTATGTTCAGCAGTGGACTTTGATGATTTTTTTTTTGTATAGAATAAGGGTAATAAACGAGGAGACGATCCACGTGATGGAAAGTGTATGTGGCCCATTAACAAATACGTCTATTCTCAATTAAGAATCAAATTGCAGATACGTTGTCACACTTGAAGATTAGGATGGAATGCCCCGTTCCTCGTAAAATGTGACTTCGGTTCCCTTTACTCACTACATGAAACACGGGAGCATTAAACTACTGTTTAACACCGGTGTTTTGTGAGATCGTGGTCCACGGTCGAGCCGACTCCTTCGGGCTACAACCTTATTATAGCTGCAACATGTCTCTATTACTTTTAGGCTATGTGGTCATAAAAGTTCGAGTATGCAATATTGCCTGAATAATAGTGACAACTTGTATTGCTCTATCTCACATTTTGTATTATTTACTCTTATTATATGTAAATTGTACACGGTAGTTTGTCATCGATTGCGTGATAGCATAAAATAAAATGTAGCGCTTCAAACATAACCCAGCACCGGCCGGTACGGCTTGTGACAATGTTCTGAAATACTGACAGTCTGCAAGTGCTTGTACAGATATTTATTCGTGTCAACATTTTAAAAATTATATATGGAAATATAAAATTTATATTATTGGTTCACTAGTAAAATATTTACCTTTTAATAAGTTAAAGAAATAAAGTAAGCAAGCTGGATAAAATCTAGCAGAATTATATAATTATCTCTCTTTATTATTGCACTATATTTTATGTACCATATCTTATTCATCCCATAAGTAATAGCTAAGTATATATTAATGAAATGAATAAATGAATGATGAAATGAATGAATACACCCCATGCGACTGAAATTTAATCATATTGTTTTGCAAAAGAGAGCCGTACGGACGATTTAAAACTTAAATTGTAAAGAGTCACTTAGAGAAAATTTAAGGAAATAAACAAATAACTTTGGCATAAAAATATATTAACGAAAATGTAATTCATGTACATAAAAACATAAATATCTTTCAAAAGAATAAAAATATTCATACTTTAAAAACTAGGAACAAAAATAAGCTTGTAATACCAGTTACAAGACTTCACAGAATCAGTAAATCATTTATGGGGCAATGAATATGTTTTTACAACAAAGTCCCAGAATATGTACAAAATTTGTCATTAGCATGTTTAAATGTTTTGTTAAAGAAAAATTGTACAAAAAAGGTTATTATAATATAAATGAAAAATCATCATCATCATCATCATTACAGCCCTTCACAAGTCCACTGCTGAACATAGGCCTCCCCCAAGTAACGCCACAAAGCACGGTCCTGAGCCACCTGCATCCATCGACTTCCTGCATGTCTGACCAGGTCGTCACTCCATCTAGTGGGGGGTCGCCCTACACTACGCCTACCGGTACGAGGCTGCCACTCGAGAACCTTTCTTCCCCATCGGTTATCGGTTCTTCGAGCTATATGGCCGGCCCATTGCCACTTCAGCTTACTAATCCGTTGTGCTATGTCGGTCACTCTGGTTTTACTGCGGATATCCTCATTTCTGAGTCTATCATGCAGAGAAACTCCGAGCATAGCCCTCTCCATAGCTCGCTGAGCGACCTTGAGCGTCCTCATACGGCCAGCAGTGAAGGACCACGTCACTGATCCGTAAGTCATCACTGGCAACACGCACTGGTTGTACACTTTAGTTTTCAGAGATTGAGGTATACCTGACGAGAAGATGCGTCGTAATTTCCCGAACGCTGCCCAGCCGAGTTGAATCCGTCGATTGACCTCTCTCGGTCGAAGTTAGACTTACCTAGTCGGACTATATGTCCCAGGTAAACGTACTCGTCAACAACTTCGAGCATAGTGCTCCCCACAACTACCGGCATAGGTGTGACATGGACATTGAACATAATCTTTGTTTTGTCCATGTTTATCTTAAGACCTATCCGTTGGGAGACACCATTTAGGTCATTGAGCATAGTGCTAAGGTCCTTCAGCGATTCTGCCATAAGGACAATATCGTCGGCAAATCGAAGGTGAGTGATGTACTCGCCATTGATGTTAATACCATATCCTTTCCAGTCCAGTAGCTTGAAAACGTCTTCCAACGCAGCGGTGAAGAGTTTCGGGGACATAACGTCACCCTGTCTTACACCTCTCTGCAGTTGGATAGGTTTCGAACTCTGGTTCTGTACTCGGATAGCCATCGTAGCCCTACTGTACAAACACTTCAGCACCTCGATATACCGACAGTCAACTTGGCACCGCTGAATGGCCTGTAGCACCACCCAAATTTCGACGGAATCAAAGGCTTTCTCATAGTCCACATACGCCAGGCAAAGTGGCAGATTGTACTCCTCGGTCTTCTGTACAATCTGCCGCAGGGTATGTATGTGGTCTATGGTACTGAAGCCTTTTCGGAAACCGGCTTGTTCGGGAGGCTGGAAATAGTCGAGTCTGCGTGTGAGATGATTCGTAATGACTCTCGAAAACAGCACGAAAACATAAATGAAATTACTCCATGGGAATGAGGTGATCGCCACCTTGCTGGTTCTATAAAAATCATTCGAAAATTGTAACAAAATAAATTTATAGTAAATATAAATACGTTTGAAGAAATTCCCGCTAGATTTCTTGCTGGTTCTTCCCAGGACAGAGGTTTTTTTCGAACTAGTGGTAAATTAAAACATGAATTTCAATAAGTATTTAATTAAAATCTTTGTTAAATAAAATCATTCAATTCAATTCAATGACAAAAACCGTGAATTTCTTAATAGGCAGATGTTATTGCGGGAACCATCGCGTACAATATATTGATAGATAATACATTATAATCACATATTTAATATCGGGAAATTTACATTAGACTTATAGTTTCTTACGTGTTGTAAAAATAGTAAAATAACAATGTTCTCAATGATTCAAATTAAATAAGAATAAAATGAATGCCCCGACAGGAAAGTGTTAGTCAGTACTAATTTAAATTTAACATCAAGATACATTTATAAATGTGAAAATGTATTTTTTTTTTTATTTATCCTTAAATCTCTTAATTTTTTTAATAATCCCTTAAATTAAGGGAAGAAAGGGGTAGACTTATTGTCTTATTGTCTTGTATCAATAGAACAAAGAGGCCCAATAGAAGAAATATAAATTTAATGGAATAGAGGGGTGATTAATCTGATAATATATAAAAGTCAGTAAATTACTATTCTTTAAAAATCTTAAAATTCCTCTAAGGTGTAAAACACTTTTGTAATAGGTATTTTTCAATTCCGTCTTATAAGAACTTGATCTCGTTTCTCTTCACCGTCTATGAATATAATTGCATAATTCCACAGACATAAGATGACAATCTTCCGATACAAAGCAGTTTTACATTTGGGATATTTAAATTTGGTTGCATTTCTACACATCCTCTTTTTTGCTAAGTAAACTGAATGAAAGTAGTTAAGTTTTAGGAGCACACCACAATAGTTACATTCTTATCTAAAGTCCACAGGAACCTTAAATTTGTGCTACGCTTGACAGATGGGTTGGAAACTAAATTTCTTTTTGTATATCTCTTTGTTATTCACTTACTGGTTAGTACTTATGACAATCACGGGACGATACGGGGTAGTAGATATTTTTCACCGCTGTTAACTTTATTAAGAAAATGCCCTTTTTCATAAATATTTGCCCACAAGATTTGAAGGAATCATGAACACTGTATTATTTGCTAAGTTACTCCATCTTTACTGACTTTGATACAAGACTTCGCATCAATAGAGTAGTTTTATACGAAAATGTT